GGTAAGATCTTTAATGTTTACAGAAAATCCGCCAAGTCAAAGGACAGTTGCAAAATCATAAAAACGCTTGGTGTAATCTGTAAATAAAGTATCATGTTGATCTGAATCTTAAAAAGACGAAAAAACATAATGTGAATTGTCTTTCTCCACGACATACCGCCGAACGCGGAAAGCCCTGCAGAATTCTATATGAGAAACATTTATCCGGGCAAAAATGAAAAATATTGTCACAATAGATGAATCTCGGGTATATTAAAATAACTGCTATAAAAAGAGATCCATTTATTATCATCAAAGAGGGAAAAAAATTCTTAAATCATGGTTCAAAGATCTAAAGAAAGATTTTCAAAGAGATTTATGATAATTCCTGGTTTTTCATATAGCGGCAAATTAAAAATAAAGAGAGTGGAGATAAATGTTAATATAAACTCCAAATATTACCCGGAACATATTTTAAACCCAGTTTTCTAATATGACATACCTTCTTGTAACATACAGTGCATTAGTCAGTAGAACTAATCAAGACAAAGCAAGCGACCACACGTCAAAATCCATTGTTCATTTTTTGAAAGACAAGGAGCAAGAAATGGGCATCAAGGCCACTAATCTTCATTCATATCGTCACTAAACCTCTTGATGTATCACCCATGGATCTTTGGGCTTTTGGACATTTTAAAAAGCGGGTTGTCCAAACGTTGACCTACAACTCTCCTTGGGCTTTGGAAAGCTGTCCAAACGGAATGGGATAAAATACCTCTTCTGATACTACAAAATACTTTATTGTCTGAGAAATTACGGTGCAGAAAGATAGTTAAGAATAATGGTCATCAAATAGAACATTCAAAACGCAAGCGTTTCTATAAAGATAATGAAAATCGCCTAAAAATATGAGAACATCCTGTGTAAATGGTATTTAAGACGAGACATATTATGTACTTTTGTTATAAATGACTCTTCTAAATGTACTTTACAACTTTCATCAAAATACAAAGTAAACTATAGAACATTTTGTAATAACTACGTTATGTGCATCAGTGTTTCCTAATTAAATTCATTACGGACCTTTCATATTTTGAACAACATACTGGGACTGCTTAATTTAGCATATAGAATTGAAGTCACTGCAGGGAAGAAATTCTTGTGGTTCTAACCAGAAAACAGGCATAGAATAAAAATATTTCACATTCATTCTATTTCATCACTTGTGAAAGATTAAGTTAAAATATACAAATATAAAATTACCAGGCTACCTGTCTTCAACACAAGATCTTTTTAACAAGTTCTCCGAGTCCAACAATTTTAATCTAACCACAGCAGAGGCTACACGCTTTAGCTAGACCGCGATAGAAATTCAAACGCACATTTACCTAAATAGGATCTAACCTCAGTCAACAAAACTCACAGGAAAGCCAGCACTGGTATTGCTAGCAGACTTTTTCTTCGATCGGCAAAGTAGCAGACCCCAGACCAAACTCTCGCGCTCTTATGAGTAAATCCTCTAAACCTTATAGTAAAATTTCTTGCCATTCAAATCTGTATAAATTCTGGAATGAGTGAACCTCGTGGCGAAAAGAGGCAGAAAGGAGATTGAATTAATCACCATTTCATTAGTTAAACTAATTATTATTATTAAACTTTCATTACTAAACATAATGCTACACCTTTTTGGTTATATTGTGTCTTAATTACACCTTTTTGTTTCATCTGCTAAAATCCTAATCAATTACTTCTACGGGTGGTTTTGCGGTTAGAAGACAAGACTGCTAATGTATAGTCGAAGTATAGGATTTGTTAGTTTTGAAATATAAAAGCATTTTAATACACGTGGCAATCATACGACAAAAACAGCTTCGCTGTAAGATTTTTCCATCCACTAGGTAGGAAAATATCTGTAAATATTTATATTTTAATGCGTAAAAGAGTTTTTAAACTTATGGAATCGATGGGAAACTATTTGGCAATCACTAGTTTACATATTTCTGTATTTTTGAATTGCATTTTAACAATAACGGTTTGAGTTTTATTAAATGGTAAGAGTGAGGGTCATTTTTTTAAAGGGAAAATAAATATTTGTAGGATTTTTCTGCTAGCTTGTATTTTAATGGTGTCATTTGCTAAAAGTAAGAATTTTAGTAAACCCTACTTAGTTAATATATTATGCATATGTACGAATTTAATACCTATTCCTTATACAAAATTACACTTTTTTAAATTTATTTTCTTGCATAACTTAGGTACGAGTTAACATTTATGACTATAAGAGTATTTTTTGCACATTTTGATAAACACGGAAGTTTAACATTGCAAGAGAACTAGGTTATAACAAATGCTATGTGTAGACTCATAAAGTATAATATGAAATATTAGACTGTAATTTTTTTCGATGCAAATGTAATTCTTTACACGTGTATCCATTTACGAAAACTACTTTTTATCATATGAATTTATTTGCTATTTTGAAATATATCGATATAAGCATGCGCACCGCAAATATGTTAATCATTATTTTCTCCTATTAGCAGTATTATGGCTAAGGTCCTTTCACTTGAATCACTTTCAGAACGATACTGCGATTTCTATTCAGTATATAACGAAGGCAAAAGGCTTCCCAATGTTGCTCCGATATAAAGTGCCTAACAAATTCAGTTAGTAGCTTAGTTGGGAAGCCTCTATAAAAGTATTGGTTTTCTCATGGAGCTCAATTTTGTTTTATGAAGTGCACTATTACTTTATATGCGGATGAATTTCTTAAACAGAGAATGAATGTAAATTCCATTATCTTATTGTAAAATTCCCTCGATTTTCATAATGAGGAAACTCTGCTATTTGACACATTCTGATCTAGACTTTTTATTAAAGCAACATATTAAAATTAGCATTTCATCCATTAAAACTTCATTCTGCCATTAAAATTCTATTATTATATTCTGAAACAAAGCGACAAAATCTAAAATTCTCCTTTGCCAACAACTGATTTTGACCAAAATGTCCAAATTTTCTTGAATTTATAGCGCGAATAATTAATATTAAATTTGAAGTTTCTTGGTGAGAATATTTTCGACCCTTCCTTAATATTATATGTAATCTTTTAAATATACATTTTATTTGAATTTATTGGAATTACGAAGAAAATTATTGGAAAGAACTATATCAACTATAAAGTTATCAAGTCGATTAGGGTTTGCATTTGTGGTCATGAGGAAAATCGAAACTGAAACGGGAAAGGAAACTTTTCACATGCTTTGGAGTAGTTCAGTGTTTTGAAACTGCATTCAAAAATACGGCAATCGAGGCCAAGGAAATGCAAGTTATTTGTTGTATTTTTTAAGTAATTCATCATCCTCGTTAACAAATATTTAATAACATATATAAGAGAAGAAAGTAAATCAGCAACGTACTACAGCCTTACTTTCGACTCTCCCTTATATTCCACTTATACTTTCGGACACTGATCGATTGACATTAGTTATAAGGTACGTTTTGGAAAGTGGGAATGTAAAAGAAAGGTTTAGAAAAATTATACCAATTAAAGAGCATACAACACCCTTTCTGGAACAACTGGTATTCCTTGCTTTAGCATAGGCATCGATATTAAGCTTTGTAGAAGGCAAAAATATGATAAAGCAGAAAACCTGTTAGGAAGTTGTTCAACATTGTAAGCTCATATTCAATATTGCAGTCCAAGTGCGATCTAAACATATATCTTGCACTAATCATTCTTTAAATTGATTGGATATTGCAGCTGTTCTGGAAATTAGCAGCACCGCTGTTCGGTATTTTATGTTTGTGCAAAATTATTTGCTTTTTTCTCTGTATACCCTCATCACTGGAAACGTTTGAGCAGAAAGTTGAAACTATTTTAAAGGGAAAAAAAATTCGACACTAGATGGTGGGCACGAGACACACTTGCATTAAAAATTGGTTACAAGCATATAAAAGAATGTTTTCATCCCTTCCTCCAAACTCCACGTCCTTAATCCAACCACTGGATTAAGGAATCACAAAAACATCCAAAGCATATTATATCACTCATGTTTACATCTCTGCAAATAAAGAGTAGATGAAGGAAAGCACGACCCACTAATAGCATTTTGGAAGCAATTCAACATAAGGCACTGCATAGAAACGATTAAATTCACAAGGGAGCAAGTGAAATCATCAACAATGAATACTTGCTGGCACCAACCCTGGCCAGAAGCCGTCAACAGTTTTAAAGGATTTCCATCCATTGAAAGTGAAGCAAAGGGAATTGTACAAATTTGCGAAAGCAATAAGCGGCAAAGGAGAAATCAAAGAATTAGTCGAGAATAGCGATCCTGAAATAACAAATGAAGAATTGGATAACTTTGTAACACCAGCCGAAGGTGAAAGAAGTGATGTAAAAAAGATAAAGACTATACCCAAAGTTACACGAATTGTTAAAAAAGTACAGGAAATGTCTCATTTTGTAATGGAGAAAGAAGAGGCCATTTTAGAAAAGGTATTGAAAAACATTGCACTCCTTACCGCGAATCGTTTAATGACTTCCGTCAGACATTGTCCTATGCTTAGCCCGTTCATTCCATAGAAAATTAACTTTGCGGAATGCAACTTTGCCGTAACCCCGTAATGTGTTATTAACTTTCGCAAAATGTTTCAGTAATAATGATGCTGATTAATTACATGTATTTAATTATATTATGCACCTTAGCACTAACTGCGTTTCAAGCATATAAGTATGAAAATATTTTCTTAAGGGTCCCACAAATTTTATCGCTAGGGGGTCCCAACTAGCTTAACCGGCCGTAAAGGTATTTCCCATCTACGCTTTGAATTTAAGTTATGGAAAATTAAAAACAGTACTCAAAATTTCGCAATACACTTTCAACAGAAAATATTGTTTTTAATTAGAATATCACTTGTGCAAAACTTAAAACTGAGAGAGAGCGAAAGAGTCTAAAATTTTCAAATTCGCTTTTGAAAAGTGTATTAAAGACAGGAAAAATAGAGCAACAACTTACCTGTAAGATTTGCTTTGGGTACTGGTGCACTATTCCCTGGGCTTCCACAGACTTTCTTCTGTTTGCTAGAAATTATATCCACTCATCAGTAAAAGCAATCGTTATGTTAATAAAATTAAAATATGAAAGTCATTGGATGTAAAACTCTTACATTTTAGATACAACATGTATTATATAATCCTTTTATGAACATTCACATTTCATGTTAAGAAATTCTCTTGTCGTTGGGTTTTTCAAATTTAAATAACTGAGTGATTTAGAGTAAAGTGTATATTTAGAAGAAATAAAGAAGTCAATTTTTAAGGGTGAAGAAACTCCAAAGAATTATATCACCTATCTATCTATATATAGTATATATATGTATATATATAGAGAGAGAAACTTGTTATTAAAGTTAGTTATTTAATTTTTTTGTTTCGATTTTTATTTTAATTTGTATTTGGCTCAAAATGGATTTCAGGTTTGCGCTTCATGTTGATTGATTTTCGGTGTCTTCTTTAATTAGGCAGCTTACCGCTTTCGGTGATATTACTATTACACTTATTCCATTCTCTCTCTCTCTATATATATATGGATATATATATCTGCGCGACGTTTGACCTGCAATACAGCTGCAACTAGACTTGGCGTGGGTGCCACAAGTTCTTGATAGCGGACTGGAGTCAGGTTGTACTAAATGTCTAAACAGCGGTCACGCAAAGTCGAGATATACCGACATGGTGGTGTTTGAGCTCTGAGCTACCTCTGCATGATATCCCAATTGTGTTCTATGGGGTTACGATCCAACGAGTTAGGTGGCCAGGATATTAATTGGAATTCATACTTTTGCTCCTCGAAACACTCCAACACAATGCGAGCTTTGTGACATGCGGCGTTGTATAGGGGGGGAGCAACTATTCGCTTGGAAGACATCGTTCCCTGACAAGACCATCGACATGATGAATGAGAAATTGTGATTTATCCGATCAGCAACTGTCTTCCACTTATCCATGGTCCAGTGTCGATGTTCACGAGCCTACTATAGGGGTAGTTCACAATGACGCTTGGTAAGCAGAGGCACACGAGTGGAACATCGGCTGTGCAGTCCATCAGTGTCCGCTGAACTGTGTGTTCCGAAAGACTTCACTTGGACCTGCACTGTATTGGACTGTCAGCTGAGCCACTATCTGGCGCAGATTTTGCTGTACCAAGGGGGACAGTCTCCGACGTCCTTTTATTATATTGAGGCATGGACGTCTCCAACACGTTGACGTCTAATGCTGGTTTCACAGTCATTTAACCACTTTGCATAAATACTAACAACGGCAGATCGTAAACAACCTGCCAATCGTGCAGTTTCGGAGATACTCGTTCCGAGTCTTCGGGCCATTACAATCTACCCTCTATCAAATTCTCTTAGATCAGCAGCTTTTCCCATCACTTACAAAAGCAAGTGCAAGAATGGTTCCTTACCTTCTCCAGCAGCAGTTAAATGCCATTCCCACTTAGTCAGGTGCTCTCCTCGTCATTCAGAAGAGTTCATAGAAAACTGTTGGGATAATCATAATGTTTCTACTCGTCAGTGTGTATATATACATATACACACACACCTAACAGAGAATTTATAAATTAAAAATTATCTGCTATGAAATGTGAAGTGAAATTTCGATAGAAAATGTGTATTATTGTGAAAATAATTAATTGGTATTAGTAAATAATTGCACTGGAATCGTGAATTAAAATGCAAATCTAAAGAATGAAACAAAAGAACTATTGCTGATTACGTAGATAAATCTCGACTTATCAAAGGGAATGGGAATCTTTCTACAATTATCAACAATTCATGAGAAACGCGTTTTGTCATTTGGCATATCTGAACAAAATCTCTATTGTAATTTTACATTTTTACTCAATTTTATAAAATCCGAATTTAAATCTTAAACGTTCAGATACGTAAAATAATTTTCCGATATGAAATGCGTTTCTCAATATGAAATGATGAAACGCGTTTCTCGTGAATTGTTGATGGTTATATGGAGAGGTTCTAATTCCCTTTAATAAGTTGGGATATCTCTATGGAATCAGTCATAATTCACTTGTTTTATTCTTTTTTTTTTTTTTTTTGTATTTTAATTTACAATTTCAATAATTCCAGGTTAATTGTTTACTAATTCCAATTAATAATTTCCACAATAGTACTCATTTGCTACCTAAATTTTGACTTCACGTTTCATAGGAGGTAATTTATTTATATATTCTCTGTCAAATTAAATTTTACCTTTGCAGCAATAGCGCAGGATTTTACTTTTTAAGTCCTTTTTAAAGAGATTTTGAAATTCGTTAAAGTTTTTCTTTACAGATTATGTATATTTATGCACTCATGCGTTAGGAAACAGCAAATATAACCAAAATGAAATGGGAAAAAGTGAAACCTTCTCAGAAAATTTCGTATTATTATTTTTATGCAAATGCTTTAGTTTCACCATTTTTGAACCTTCCTTGCAATTTTTTTTCCAAGAAGCTAACGCGCAATCTATTAATCTTTTTTCCTAAACTCATTCACATTTATCAAATAGAAGAATGAAACAGTATACTAAAAGACTCTTTCTTTTCAAACAACGGAATGCTAATTTGGCTTAGCTTCGTGAGATTATTCTTTATTTCCAACAACAGCTCCTTATTGTTTTGAACACAAAAACGTTTACAGAAACACGAGAAACATGACAACACTAAAACGCATTCAGCCGTGTAATGGAAAATATGCATAAAAAGGCAGAAAAAGGAACATCTTTCACTGAAGTTACAAACTGAAAATATAGTTTAACGTGCCTAACTCGCAGCATCCCGATATATCAGACAGAGAGAGAGGAGAAAACATAATTTTGAATAAATAATTAAATTACACATGTGTTTTTTCCAAGAATGGTATGTAATTTAATAGAAGTCCTACTTAGGAAAAAAATAAATTACCAATTACCCTTGTTGCAGAGCTCTTTTAGCAAAAACTGAAATCAGTCTTATTTGCTTTTAGTTATACCAAGGCATTCGCTGTTCTAAATAAATATAGGTTAGAGCATGCAGAGCACGTTGCTCATAAAACCTAATATATTGATTCTGAGCATAAAGGTCCGCATTACTACGTCTTCCTCCTGTTTTCAAAGTATTACTCAAAATGCGTTAACATTCAATATTCTGAAGCAAAAATATATTTTGGAAAGGAAATTCTGTGCTCTTTTTCTCTCCGTAGTAGTGAAGGTCGAGACACTTATCCTTTCACATAAATGTTTTCTAAGTTAAATGAATATTTACAAATATTATTTGAGGTATAACTGATTTTAAAAAGGGATTTTTATGACTTCTTCCTATTCGCTACATAAATTACTGAAATGGTGAAACCTTTAAGGAAATATACGTGCGAGTATGCAAAATAACTATTTAACATTTTTAAACGATAACAGCACCTGACGTGCAACAACATTAAATAATATATATATATATTTTACGAATCTAAAGGTAAAATTAACTTGAGATTTTTTAAGTCTATTTATTTCAATCCAGCAGCTAAGCGCAAGATGGGGTATAAAAATTTGCTTTTAATTTTGACCTCTTATTATGTTTCTTTTTGTATATATATTATATTTTATTTAATAACATATATTATTTGTAAAATATTTTTACGCGTATTAATAACCAATTAGTTCATTTCTTTTTATTTGCTTATCATTTAAATTTTTTGCATGTTTCTTATTTTTAGTATTGTTCTGTATGACTACTCTATTTATTTTTGAATTTTGTTGTTATCAATAGTCTGTCTGCTCGTCGGGAAATTATCTCGCATGTCTATATCGATAAGATGTAATTTGGGTATTCTAAAGTTTAACGGAAGTGTAAACTTGAAGAGGGGTTTTTTCAGACATGCGAGATGACAAAGCGCGTTTTTCATGAATTGTCGATGGTTTTACGGAGAGATCTTTTTATGGAATCAGCAATAATTATCTTGTTTCATTCTTCTCTTTTACATTTTAATTGACAGTTCAGTGTATATATTTATAAATTCCAATTAATTATTACCACATTGGTTCACATTAGCTTTCTTAATTGCTTTCTGAGTTGCCAATTATTTTTACCTCAATAGTGTATATTTGCATTCTAAATTTCACTTCGAATTTCCTAAGAAATTAATTTCCCTTATATTCTCCATAGTTTTATTTAATTAAAATATTAACTTTGCATCCACTGCGCTGGATTTTATTTATTTATTTATTTATTTATTTTTTTTGTCATTTGAAAAGTATTCTTATATATACTGAGAGAAAAATAAGAAGAAAAATTTTAAAACTTATAAGAGAAATATATATTCTGATTTATATATTCTCTATTAAATTATAAATATATGTAATATTTTTAAAACATAGAGAGGAATTAACTTGCAGTCGTAGTAGCTGAGGGTGAAGGCTTACAAATGAAGATAATAAAACATGAACTTGAAGAATTTCCAGTCTTTATTTTCACACATATCCAATTAATTTGGCACACACTTATTCAATCATAATTAAATATGATAAATTTCGATGTACATTGATTCTGAAAAACGAAGCGAGGAAGACGCAGACAGTTTTAGACGGGGAAGCGAAGCGAGGAGTTATTAGCAAGGTGGAAGCTAGGAAAGTGACGCAAGTTCATGTTCACTAATGCGCAATTAGCACTATACGTCTGTGTTCCAGCGTCATAATGTAGTTGCACGGGAGCGCTGAAAGTAAAGAAATGCATGAGCTGGGCGGTGCAGGATAGCTGAAGTGTAGAAGGGGTGTGACCAACGTCACGTGACTGACTGACTGACTGATAACTTATAGCCAGAATACCACTGAGATCAGTAGTTTATCTGGCTCAATCAAATTTATGCCGGATGGGCACAATAACATAGAATTATCTTCACATAATGTCCGAAGTAAGGAGGAGAAAGACGGATAAAGAATAGGAAGACCAGCAAAGCAAAAGCTCACTAGCAAGTAACCGGCCCGGTAAAGGCGTGACTAAGTGGGAGTCATAAAAATGAGTGTAGAATGTGAAGAATACACAGTACAAT